AATGTACAAATGTGCTTTACACAATTGATGTATGTATGGATTGTGATAAGAGTTGTATAAGCCCCCAATACAATGATTTTAAAAAAATTATGCTCTCTCTTTTATATGTAAAATAGTTTCATCTCTGATGGCGCTTTACTCAGAAATTATATTATCTCAACCTCTCTATCATACCTCTCTATATCCTCCTCCTCCCTGCCCATCTCATACTGTCTCAACCATTGGTTTCTTCAAGGTCAAACTTCTGACTTCACCTTAATAAAACATCTACCACATCATAGTACTGACAGCTCCCAAGCTTTCACCACAGAGTCACCAGGCTTCTCAAGGACCCCAAGTTCTATCTTCTTAAAACAGCTTCCTCCCTGGTTTCCCCATCCCCCCTCCTCCCTTTCCTCTCATTCTCTTGGATTAGCCTCGTATGGTAATGAGCAATCAGTCCTCAAAAAGTGTTCCTAACAAGCAGTAAACTGCCACTACACATACTTCACTAACATCTTCATCATTAACTATGAATGCATGTGAAGAATCGCAACAGTTTTAAACCCATAGATTGTATAATCAGGAAGAATATAGTTTCAAAATGACAGGCTTTCTCATTTACAAGCTAGCAGAGTGGATGTCTGCTTCCTGATAAACAGAGGATGTTACCCCTATTGGCCTGGGGTGTCTGTTGGCTCATTATCATATTCTCATTCTTAATCAAAGGAGAAGCTACAGTAAAGTGCTTCTGCAGGACTCCGTGACCAATGTTGCATGCTTTCCACCTTTGCTGACTAACAAAAAAACTTGTTTCTAGCAGTGAACTTTGAGAGTACCTCTTTATACTTATTATTCTTGCACTCAAAAAGAAATGTACCCAAATGCTTAAGAAATAATCTCGAGCATCATAATATTTTACTTACTTGGGGGCAATTGTATTAAAAGGATTTCCCTGTGTCAGCCAATGCTTCTTTGTGTGGTTGTATTTGTTGTCATTGTATATGCATTTATGCATGCAAAATATCATAGAGTATGTTTCTCACATTTCAGTTTTCTGTGTCAGTTTTTTTTGTACTCATTGATGTTATGTATCCAAAAAGTTAACGACAATGTTGATTTTGTATTTAGCTATTGATAAAACTTTTAAGTATTCCATTTACACAATGCTTTATTCCGCTGTGTAATGTTAACTCATTTTTTTTCAGAGGAAGAAATTAGTAGTTTGGATCTAAATAATTTCCTTCATTATGAATTTCCGAAGGTTTCCATTTATTCTATTGGCTAAAAAGATAGGTTTGTCGTTGTTTTTATATTAAGTTAGGGCCTAAATAAGTCGTCATTCAAGTACATTCACAGCTAAGGAAATCAGAAGTGACTTGATTTTCCCGAGTAGGTTTATACCTATACGACTTCAGACTATAAATAACTCATATACCAAAATATCCAATTCATTGATCCAACCTCTCCTAAATTACGTTCCAGAAATGGAATGCACGTGCCCAAATTGATGGTTTTGCCAGATCTTAAATTGGAACCTTAAAAAAAAATTGGAATTAAACTTTGCAAAAACAGATTGGCAACACCTTCCTTCCCTTTCAGCTTCAGAAACAGCCTGTTACAGGACGTCGCTGGGCTTGCCACTCCTCGGAATAATATTCAAACAGGGAGATCCATTGGAAGCTCTTCATTCCAGCAGCTGGTCCGTGTTTATAGTTACATATGCAGGCTGCCGAACACCCTCCGTGAGCCATGAACGTAGGCATTACACACCCTGAGTGCCAATAAGCCCATTGGGGGATGTGTTCTCCAGGGTTTTCAGCTCTTTGCTTCAGTTGACAAAACTCTGCTAGATTTTTTTGTTGCTGTAGAAAATATTAGATTGTTTGTGATTTTTGTAATTTGGCGTGGAACTAGGACCACAGTCATTTAAAAAATAGGTAAAAACATAGACTATGAGATTTGGGGGGGTATATTTTAAAATTATTGTCTCTAGCCATGCATCCTAGAGAGTTGCAAGAAAAATAACAATAGGATTAATAGGTAAAATGAATAGCTGTGTTATTGTTTTCCTTAGACGTTTAGCTCCAAATAACCTGTGTGGGTCAGCTCAGCTGTGTGGGCACCATAGGGAATCTACAAATTGTACTAAGAGAGCTGCAGGTTACAATTTTTTAAATGATATCTTTCTTACCAGAACAATAAAATGTTGCCTGGTGACTTACAGCCAATAGTTAAGCAATTTACTAATAAACATAGCACATATTTAACAACCTAGCAGGTCATTTAGATTATGCTGCAACTTTTTTTCTCAGAAGCAGGTTCCTAAATGAAATGATGGGTAATCTCTAGCTTCATTACAACCAGTCAAAAGCAAACCCTTGCCATCAGATTGATTCCCATACATTGCAACCCTAGGGGACATAGTTGAACTGCCTTATGGGGTGTCCAAGGCTGTAATCTTTATGGAAACCCAACTACCACACCTCTCTCCTGTGGTGCAGTGAGAGGGCTCAAAGGACTGACCTTCCCATTAGCATGTGAGAGCATTTGCCATGGTTCCACTGGGACCTCAATTGATTATAGGACAGGAACTGTTCTCAGAGGGTGAGGAGAGCAGTTTCAAGCATGGGAAAGTAATGAGTGTAAAGCACTGTGAAAATCGTATCAGAGAGTCCCATCTTAGCCAGCACAAAATCTACATATTACCCAGTAGTCATGATGCCCTGGGGCAAGGGTCCACGTCTGTCTACACAAGGCACATGGAATTACTAGGGAGTGTTCTTAAAATAAATACAGATTCCTTAGCACCAGCACATGATTTCTTGATCCTCTGGGTCCTTTTTGCTTCATTACATGGTTGGAATAAAAGCTTTTGGAAAGAAGCCAGACCCCCACAGCCATATGAAAGTTACTGAGGAACCATCAGGCGGGTAGAAATTTAGTATGAGGGAGCTGAGCCATGGTGGATGGTGGCGCAGTCATGAAACTAGAGGTCACGTGCTCACATAAACCTCTTAATTCCTAGGAACTTTTGCCTTTTAGGGCCTCTTCTCCCATCTGTTCACTCCATTTCCTTTCTCTTAATGAAACTTGTTAGGTTGCCAATCTGAGCTCCGTGGTCTAGTTTTTCCCCTCATTTCATTGCATTCTTGTCTTGCTTTCATGTTTCTTGATAACCACTAGGACCAGTGGTGTGAGTGGCGATACCGGGAGGGTAGAGGAAGGGTGGGTTGGAAAGGGGGAACTGATTACAAGGATCTACATGTGACCTCCTCCCTGGGGGATGGACAACAGAAAAGTGGGTGAAGGGAGACGTCGGACAGGGCAAGATATGACAAAATGATAATTTATAAATTATCAAGGGCTCATGAGGAAGGGGGGAGTGGGGAGGGAGGGGAAAAATGAGCACCTGATGCGGGGGGGCTTAAGTGGAGGGCAAATGTTTTGAGAATGATGAGGGAAATGTGCTTTACACAATTGATGTATGTGTGGATTGTGATAAAAGTTGTATGAGACCCTAATAAAACGATTAAAAAAAACCAAAAACCACTCCCTCCCAGGAGATTGCCATTGAGACACTTAGGCTAGCATGAAAATAGATGGTGAAGGATAAACACTTAACTGTCAGTAAACATCACATTCAGCATTTTTAAAAGAATTTGAATTTGCTACGTCAAAAAGTAGGTGTCAGTGATTGAATTGAGGTTGTCTTTATTTGAAACAATAGTCAGTTCATGGATTTCACTCAACTATATGGATTCTATAACAGGTGCCCGTGTTTCTGCTCAGCAAGGAAAACATGAAGGCCAGGATTTCAAGGCATGTAGATTTTTAACAGGAGAGAAGAAATTCTGTACTGGTTGAGATACAGTTAAAGAATGACTTCTCATTGCACTTTTAAATCACACAACTCCACAGTGATTGGTTTGCTCATCTGCAAAATTAGAAAAGCAACACCAGTATCTTAGTTTGCTGATCAGCTGACTTGTTTAGGAATGCAGAAGTTGACAATAATGTGTATGTCATGATTATTCCTGTTAAAACCCTTCACTCTTAAAGAGGTTGTTTCAAAAAGTGGACTTAACTGCTGCTAGTGGGGAAGGTTGCTGAATTTATAAATTATTCAGTTCCCCTTAGAACTTTATACATCGGTGTCATTTTCCAGATTGTACATGCAAATGAAATCTGTTTTCAGGGCTTTCAGAAGGAGATGACACGTGCAAGTTTTAACATATGCTTCTTCGGAAAACAGAGTCAGGGAGATGAAAGGAAAGTGTTTCTTACACCAACTGTCTAGAAGACTGACCAGAATGGGAATAATCTGGGTTTCGGAGTTCTCACTAAATCTTGAAGTTGGAGGGCTTATCACCTGTATCTGGTTCCTTATTTCTCTTGATGATTTTGCCTTGGAAACCATTGCCCTTGAGAAGACAGTAGAAGTAACCCCATTCTGGGGTAGCCCTGTGGAGTGATTGACAGTTACAAAAGGGACTTTCTTTTGAGGCACGCTTGGTGTTCTGTTTCAGTCAGATGTCAAAGCAGTGATCTCCCTAGGTGCTTCCCTCCCACCCTCTCCACCCCGCATTTGTAATGGTGTGGTTAAGAGCGGTCCCAACACATCTGGCACGACTGTCACCCAGGGTCTCCTCGAGAAATTAGAAATTAGTGTTTTTATCTTTGCCTCAGACCCAGGAGATGCTCAGGGCAGGGTGGACCCATGTGAAAAGAAAAATTCCTCACAGAAATGAAGCCGTAGCTTCCAGGAAAGAGTGATGTTCGTGTGTGTTCAGCTGATGGATGCTTCATACCATCGCTCTTTGAAAGGCATGAAAAAAAGGTGGACCGTTAGTGCTGTTTTCCTCTGGCAGCAGAAGATGAGATTGAGAAAAAGGATAAAAGACTAAGAAAGAAAGTAACCCCCCCACCCCCCAAAAAAAAGATAGAAGAATAGAAGGACATGACATACACAAATAGAAGAAAACAGAGAGAGGAGAATGAAACAGGGTCAGGTAACTCACTTGGCATTGCCGGCCCCCGGCTTCTTTCTCCGGAAGATATTGAGGAAGGTGTTGGAGCGACAGGGCAGCTTGCCATCGCCAACATGCATGCGGACTACGTCAGAGGTGGTGAAGGCACTGCGAACATTTCTCTCGGGCTTAGCAATGATGATGTACATCTTGGGAGTGAACATGCACCCCAGGGCCACCGTTACACTGAGGCTCACTGCGAAGCAGGTGGTAATGATCTTGTAGTTGCTCCCAAAGTAAATGGGCACAAAAGCCAGCCAGATAATGCAAGTGGTATACATGGTGAAGGCGATATATTTGGCCTCGTTGAAGTTGGCGGGCACGTTGCGAGTCTTGAAGGCATAGTAGGTACAGCTCATGATGAGGAGTCCATTGTAGCCCACAGGGGCCACCACACCCAGGTTGCTGGTATTGCAGATAAGGTAGACTTCCTTGATGCTTGGGTAGGACAGAATGGGCATGGGGGGCTCCATGATAATGAGGGTGACCACCAACGTGAGCTGCACACTGATCAGAATCGAGGCAATGATCACCTGGGCCCAGGCACTCATGAACCTGGGCTTCCGGGTGCAGATCTTCTTCTTGCTGCCCGCAAGAATGCGCGCGATGCGATTGGTTTTGGTCACTAAAGCAGAGTAGCACATGGCAGAGGATAGGCCGACCAGGAGGCGCTGGAGGTAGCAGGACATGGTGGTGGGTTTGGCGATGAGCGTGAAAGGGCACACGTAGCCAAGGAAGATGCCAGCTAGGATGATGTAGCAGAGCTCCCGACTGGAGGACTTGACCACCGGGGTGTCTCGGTAGAGCACGAAGATGAGGGTGACAAACAAGGTCACGAGGATGCCCAGGCAAGAGAAGGCGATGGCGATGACGGACTCTATGTTGCTCCACTCGAGGTAGCGGACCGGAATGGATTCACAACCTGTGATCAGAAAATCAGCTTTAGACAGAATCCAAGACTTCCCCACCACTGGCACAACAATGCTGACAAGTGCCTGGCATAGCTATCTTAACATCTTTCCCAGGAATAGAAAACAGAGGCCCTCCAGTACTGAGTAGTGTGTGTGTGTGTGTGTGTGTGTAGATTAAATGTGCTTCTACATTTTCAGACACACACACAAAAGAAAGTTCACTTGTGTCTCCAGTAAAGGTTAGAGGGTATAAGTGTAACACAATCAGTTAATGCAAAAGAAACTAAGGACATTTTAATTTTTAAGTAGCAATTATCCAGGGGTGAGTCCCATTCCACAGATAAGCTGAGTGTTGTAGTCACACATTTAACTTGAGTTCGTTAGAAGAGTATGTACTCCCCTGCATAGCATGGAACTGGGAACTCTAGATGAACAAAAAACAAACACACTGCCTTTGAGTCCATTCTGACTCCTAACTCCATAGTAGGACAGATTCGAACTGCCGATGTACGTTTCTGAGACTCTAACTCCTGCGGAGCTGGCTAGCCTTGGAGTTAGCCACATATCCACTATGCGGCAAGGACTCTTCGATAGTACTCACCTTGAATCCCATACATTTTTCATACATTAATTGTATCAAGTGCCGGAGCATCCTTGAGTTACCAATCTCTAACATATTCACCGAAGAAAAATGAAATTGCCCATTCATCCATCTCTTGTAAAATGAGACAGAGCCATGTTCCCCAATGTGTGCCTTCTCTTTTCACTCTAAAGGTTCTCAATGTACGGAGTTTGATTTTATTTCTGAGTAAGAGAAAATGTATCAGTCCATAGAGACAACCTTTCATAGGATTTTATGCTTGATATGGGCTAATATTTCCCAAATTTAGAAACTAAGCATATTTCTACACATTTACAAAAATTCCCATTGTTCTTTATTTGTGGTGGCCAGGAACTTTGAGAACTAGTCTTAAGCTGGTTCAGTAAATCAACTACAACTCACCTCAGTGAACATACTCTGGCTAACCCGTGTCAGTTCTTTATACCAGTAATCAGCCAACCACAGACAGACCCACTTCAATAAATATATGCCAAACGTCTGAGCATCTGGACACAAATCAATCCCTGAATTCTAGGGATTTCAAAGACGTTCAAAACAATCTCATGTGTGATCCCTGCTCAGAAAGCAGTGCTTGACAATCACCTCGCTCCACTTCTGTAGCAAGCAACACATTCAGCTTGTTTGATAATTTTGTATATTTAAAAGGGCCATCTGTTCACATTTCTAGAGATCAGTCCAAGATTATTTTGAGGGTCTCATTGGTATCATTTCAGAAGATTCTTCAATGTTTTACTCACTGGGCTCCCTGTAGCCAAATTCTGTCCCTCTAATGGGCTACCATGACAATCAGTCTCAATCACATCCCGAGACCTGACTGGTTTTACTGAGCTTTTGTTGCGGAACTTCTTTAGCTGTGTTAGGGTTTGAATTCACGGAAGTCATTGTCTAAGGTAATTAGGATGCTCTCTTTGTTTTCAGTAGTTTGGGTTTTGAAAAGTACCAGTTAGTAATCAGATCTAGGTCTTTTCATAACACCAGTGCATTATTTGCTTTAGAGACCTTCCATTTTATAAACATTTTCCCATTAATGGCTTACTTCTCTATTGAATTTTGCTTTTGCTATTGTTTATACAAAGTCATTTCATGCATTCTTTTGTTTTATATTTTAAATGTTCTGTTGAATGTATAAGGGAGTGGTTCAGAGATGTCCGATGGGAGCAAAAGAAACAAACAACCTGAACACCACTGTCATCCGGTGGATGTCACTAGGATCCTCTAGGGCAGGATAGAATTGCTCCTGTGAGTTTCTGAGACTGTAACTCTTAACAGGAGTAGAAAGTCACGTCTTTCTTCAGAGGAGCAGCTGGTGGTTTTGAACTGCTGACTTTGTAATTAGCAGCCCAACATGTGACCGCGAAGCAACCAGGGCTCCTCTGAAAGAAAAGGTTCTATCAATCGCTAATCCAGCGATTCTTAACCTGTGGGTTGCGGCCCCTTTGGGGGTCAAACAACCCTTTCACAGAGGTCATCCGATTCATAACAGTAGCCAAATGACACTTATGAAGTAACAACGGAAGTAATTTTATGGTTTGGGGGTCACCACCACATGAGGAACTGTATTAAAGGGCCGCAGCATTAGGAAGGTTGAGAACCACTGCTCTAACCCAAGGATGTTATGGGTGGTAATAGTCGAAGACTGCTAGAATGATAATCAATTGAAGAAAAGCCGTAGATCAAACATGGCCTCATGTCCTTAGGAATAGCTTACTGAGGTACTTCCTGATTTGTCAATTTGCAAAGGATTACTGATTAGTGATCATGTAATGTCCCCATATACAATGATTGCCCCAGGAGCTTAAGACACCATTCATAGACATACACTCTTATATGATCTCAGTGGTATCTTTTATGTGTGTCATGCCTTTGTCTGCATCCCTAAGTCTTCCTATAAGAACTTTTTCTACACAGAATTACACTTTTTATTTTTCCTAGAGAAATGGCAATATAATTTATGTATATGCATATAAAGTATATATTTTTAATATATACTCCTCCTTCCTGCATCATTCTCGCAATTATTGCTTTGTTTGAGTCCTCAGTTGTAGCCACTGTGTCAATAAATGTCATTGAGGGTTTTCCTCTCTTCAAATGACCCTCCATCAAGCATGCTGTCCATCTCCGGGGACAAGTCCCGTGTGACAGCAAGTCCAAAGTACATGGAACAACATCTCTAAATCCTTACTTCTCAATAGCATTCTGGCTGTATTTTCTCTAAGACAAGTTTGTGGCACTCATGGTATATTTGATATTCTTCTCCAACACCCTAATTCAAAGGCATAAATCCTAGCACTGTCTAGTAAGGGTCTGACGGGTAACTGCAAGATCAGCAGTTAAGACACACCAGCTTCTCTGAAGGAGAAATAAAAAACTGTCTACTCCTGTAAACATTTACAACCTCAAAAACACCAGATAGGGTGTTGAAATAATCATTATGGCAGGATTTTTCAAATGGGTTCCTTTATTCAATGTCCAGCTATTGTGTGTACACGAAGTAATTGAAAATATTATGGTTTGTCAGGCGCACCTTAGTTCTTAAAAATAGCTTTATTTTTAACACTTTTGTGCCAGATTTGCCTAATGTCCTTTGGTTTCTCGACCTCAGCTTTCATTGCCATTGACTGGATCTAAATGAAATGCAATCCTTTGAAGCTTCTACCTTCTCTTCTCCTCCCCCCATTATATTGGTTATGGAACCATATATGAGGATGTTTTCTGTCTTTATGTCGAGTTGTAAACCATTCTGAAAAATATAGTCTTTTATCTGCATTATTTAGTGATTCAAGTTCTTTTCATTTTCAGTAAGCAAGGTTGTGTTATCTGCTTATCGCTGGTTGTAAATGGATCTTTTTCCAATCTTATCACTAAATTCCTCTTTATACAGCCCGGTTTCTTAGATTATTTGCTCAATGTACAGATTAAATGATCTGCCTATAACCCCCCTCCCAGGGAGATGGACAACAGAAAAGTGGGTAAAGGGAGACATTGGCCAGTGTAAGACATGAGAAAATAATAAATTATAAATTATCAAGAGTTCATGAGGGAGGGAAAAAATGAGAAGCTGATATCAAGGGCTCAAGGAGAAACAAAATGTTTTGAAAATGATGATGGCAACAAATGTATAAATGTGCTTGACACAATGGATGGATATATGGATTGTGATAAGAGTTGTACGAGCCTCCAATAAAGTGATTTTTTTAAAAATCATTTAAAAAAACTGATGTGCACACCCATTGTTGATTTTAAAACATCCACCATCCTCTTGTTCTGTTTTAATGAATACATTTTGATATATGCACAGGTTTCTCAGGAACACAATGCAGTGTTCTAGAATTATAATTCTTCACAATGTTATCCATAATTTATTGCGATCCATACTGTCAGATGCCTTTGTATAATCAATAAAACACAGATAAACATCAGTCTGATATTCATGGCTTTTAATCAAGATCCAATGACATTCACAATTATATTCCTTCTTTCACCTCCTCTTTTGAAAATGACATGAATTTCTGTCCCTTTTCTGTCAATGTACTGTTGCAATCAAATTTTACTTATTTGTGGCAACATTTCACTTGCATGCGATTTTCATAATATTGTACAATAATTTCTGAATTCTGTTAGATTACCTTTTTATGGAGAGGGCATACATCCAGATATCTTCCAGTTGGTTGGGCAGGTATCTGTCTTCCAAATTTCTTGGCACAGATAACTGAACATTTTCAGCACTGCAGTGACTTGATGAAAAGTATCAATTGGTATTTCATCAATTCCTGAAGCCCTTTTTCCCCACCAATATCTTCAGTGTAGGTTGGTTTTCTTCCTTCCATATGATTGATTTTTGATATAATATGCCACTTCTTGAAATGGTTGAATGTCAACCAATTAGTTTTTGTTGCAATGATCTGTGTATTCCTTCTATCTCCTTTGGATGCTTCATGCAACTTTCAATATTTTGTTCATAAAAACCCGACGTCATCTCATTGATCCTCAAAGCAACCCTATAGGACTAAATAGAATCACCCCCAGAGTCCCCAAGGTTGGAATCTGTATGAAAGCGGACTGTTACATCTCTCTCCCACGGAGTGGATGGTGACGTCACACGACAAACCTTTTCGTTAGCAGTGTATTCTTTAATTTAAAGCTTGAATATTTTCTTCAGCTCTTTCAGCTTAAAAAATCACCAGGCATGTACTTCCATTTTGGTTTTCTAAGTCCAACTGTTTTCACATCCTATTATAATACTTTTATTTTGTTTTTGCTGCCCTGTGAAATCTGCATTTGAGAACTGCGTCGTTTCTCTCATATGCTTTGGCTACTCTCTGTTAAAAACCAAGTTTCAAAGTCTACTCCGACTTCCATTTTGGCTTTTTATTTCTGAACTTTCAAGGG